ATTATATATCTTCATTATGCTATGTTTTTTGTGCAGATTTTTGTGCATACACAAAGTTTTTTTACAGTTGTTTATTAATATATTCCTGATTGTTTCATGCTTTATATTGAATCATTGTTATTTTTTTTTCTATAGACAATTTAGAACAAACTATTAGTAAATAAAGTTTAAAATATCTTAGTTATTTAGTCATTTAAACTTTTTTTTTTTGTAATGTTAGTGTTATAACTTAATCTTATAATAAGGTAAGTAATTTAAAGTTGGCTTTTAGGTGAATTTAGACAGCAGATTTGTAATTTTAGTAAATTTTAATAACTTCAATGGTCAACACGTTTAACATGAGTTTTACACTTACCTTCAATGTTTGGTGGTTGTCCAGTATTAATTTATAGAACCTTTTTTATACAGAAAAAATTTTTTTTTGGGACTTTAGGAAACAGAAGTTGTGTCATTTTAATTTTTTTTAATTTTTTTTTTAGGTTGGGGAGGGGGGGTTATTCTCCCCTCCCATACATCGATGTAAACACGACTTAAATTCGTAATAGTAACACCACGTAAATTCTTGTAGAACATAATTTTATATTGTATACCAATTGAATTCATTTTAGTAAAGATAAAAATATTTATGAAAACAAGTCTTATATGATACTAGGGTGTATCAAACCATCACCACCACACCCACCTCCAACGTTAACATACACCTCTCATATACTCTGGTGGTTAAATATAAATTTATAACAATGTTTTTGTATATTTAAAATACTTATGTGTTGAAAAAAGACTTTTTTTATGAATAAAATGTTTAGTTTCATACGGGTAAGGTGATGGTTTGGTGCCCCCTCTGTCCATCTAATACACCCGGTGGTTAGAGTTTAACAAAAATTTGTAGCCCATTGATATACCTATCTTTTGACACCAAGATATTTGTATTTCGATTAGAATTAATAGAGTTATGACAATTTAAGTGAAGAAAAACATAACTTTGACCACAGTTTCTTCAACAATTCCATATATCGAAAAATCGGTACTTAAACTGTCATAACTTTTAAACCGATTGTTCGTTTTTGATAATTTTTTCACCTTTAAAATACTGTATTGGTCCTCTTTCTAATGATATATAACAGTAGAATATTTAAACAATTTGAAATTTTCACTCACGTACCTAATAATAATATATATATATATATATATATATATATATATATATATATATATATATATATATATATATATATATATATATATATATATATATATATATATATCTTATTTATTACTTTTTTAGCTATGTAAAATAGATTTTTAAAACTAAATAATCTTTTCTTGACAGATTAGAAAAATAATTAATACAAAAAATTTTCAAAAACTATATAAATTAAATCTTAAAACCAGTCTTCAGTTCAAACTCTTAAAGAGATATAGTTTTCTGTGCACCTTGAGCGGGTCGTTGATACGAGTTTTAACATAAAACGGCAAAACAATGGAAACGGCCTTTATTTCCAGACTATTTATTCTTATGACTATAGTTAAATTAGTTTGATAAGGATGTCTTTTAAATGAGCAGCGAATTCAAAATTACAAAAAGCTGCATTTTTTTTTGCATTTTTTCTTTAGTAATTTTTGAATATTTTTTATCACTTTTAGTATGTAAAATCTTTTTGACGTAGAAGTAAAGATATCTTAAACATGCTGACTAAAAAAAAGTTTTATTGTATGAATAATTAAAAAAAAAAAAAAAAATTGAAATTATAACTTCTGGTTTTTTTAATGAAAATTTATTACAAAAATGAAGTCTTTTAAATCCGTGTTGCGGTTCTGTTAATAAACATAAATAACAAACCTACATAATTTTAGATAATATAAGCAGTGTAGTTCATTTAAAAAAATAAAAAATTAATTTTATAATGTTTTGAAAAATTTTAAATTATGGCCAATTTTTTGAGGTTTTGCACCACTGTGCATTGGAATGAATTAATGAATAGACTGACCAGCAACTTTTTCTTTCGTTTCAACTACCCTGAACCGACTAAAAGTACTAGACCTTTTAAAAACGATAGGAAGTTAGGTTTTTAGACAAAAGATATGTAAACCGAAACCGAAATTGTTTGATTAATATTTATATTTTTTAGTTTTATTAGTGTGCTTTTATGAAATATTTATTGAAGTATGCATTTATTAGATATTTATTTAGAATGCTCTTATTACGATATTAGTTTTTATAAATATACTTTTTTAAATATTTTTTTGTTTTATTCAAAACATTTAAATTAAAAATGTTTTAAACCTTTAAATTAAAGATGTAAATGTTTATAGTGAATATGGGTGTACAGCATTATCCTGTACATCACGTCCAATGCATTATATCTTTTTTATAAACATTAAAGTTTATTGTTTATAAAAAAAAATAATTCATTATATTGAACATGATGTACAGAATAATGCTGTACACCTATATCCACTATAAACATTTAAGTATAATAATAAAAAAAAAACTAACTAT